GGAGATCTAATGCCGTCTTCTGACCTCTGTGGGCACCAGGCACATTCACGCGGTGCACATACATTCAGGCAGGCAGAAAACTCATTGTGTTCTTAGCAACCATGGCTGTGTCTGGAAAGAGATATTCAAGGTTTGGGGTTTTTTTTTTTTTTTTTCTTTTTCTTTCTTTCTTTTTCCCCCCTCTTTCTTTCTTTTTCTCTGAGACAGGGTTTCTCTGTGACTTTGGAAGCTGTCCTGGAACTAGGTCTTATAGACCAGACTGGTTTCAAATTCACAGAGATCCACCTGCCTCTGCCTCCTGCTGGGATTAAAGGTGTGTGCCACCACTGCCCAGCTCTCAAGGTTTGTTTCTGAAAGAAAGATAATCTATATTTCTTACACATTGGGTTTTGGGGAGCTATATACTTTTCTATCCCAAATAAGCGTAGCCCAACAAACTAGGAACGGGTGAGAAGACAGATCTGGCCTGGGGGGGGGGTCGGCTTGTGAGAGGAAGGAACTGAAGACAAATCGAGGACCCCGTGTTCTAAGGCTCAATAGAGCAACTTGGCTTTGTACTGTCCTGCAGGCAGGAAGTGGGAGGCAGGTTAGCGGTAGCCATGCCAATCTGCCAGAGCACAGGCCTGGGTCCTGGCAGGGAAGTATCAGCCCTTCCATCGGGAACTCTGATGAAAGTTTAATCAGAGAAATCTTCAAGCTGAGTAAAGGTCTCTTTGCCCTCCTCAGTCTGAACAGCCCACTTGGTGGGGCCTGCAGACAGCCAGGCTGTGGGAAGAGGACTTCCTGACAGAAACTGACTTCCGGAGCAGGGAAGCATCAACTCAGAAGGGCACCAGGCATTCCTTGGCCTCCCTACTTTCCATCTGCTGCCCAGGTCTCCAGGGTGCCAGGAACCCTCAGCACTGTGTGCTATGCACCTCTTAATCCTCACATCACCAGCCCAATCTGGATGCCTCACATCTTTTCCTTATGAAATGAGGACACACATCTCACTTGTGAGGCTGGTGGCTGGGTTCCCCCAATAACCCTAGGCTTTATTTAGCCGGCTCAGCTCCCCACTGGGGCTGATGTTGGCTCTTCCGCACAAAGGGACCAGGCTTTTCGAGGCTTTTCTAGCCTGTTTGGCGAGTCACACCCCCTCGACCTTCCCCCCACCCTGCCATTCCCCAGGGATTCTTCACCCCTCTCCCATCCCTGTGCTTAATCTCTTGGCTGCCGCGCAGAGGATCCCGGCACCTGTGACATTCAGGAGGCGCCAGAAGCCGCAGGTATTGAGTCTAAGCTTTTTCTTAAGGCGCTGCAAAGTCCAGATGGCCGCCGCCATCAAACCAGCAACAGCGCAGGCCGGAGCGCTCCCTGGCGGGCGGGCAGGGCACCCGCGGCCGCACCCACCGCCGTTCCCTCCCCGCCACCGAAGGCAGATCCAGCTCGCAGCTGCTCAGTTCCTCGGACGACTGAGCTGGCAAAGGGAGATGTTGAGGGTTCCGGTGGCAGGAACTGGGGCGCTGGGGCGCCATTTCAGGCCGCCCAGGAAATGCCTGCTCTGCCGTCTCGCGGGGTCGGGGGTAGGTGGGGGGAGTCACCAGAAAAGAGGCTGGTAGAGGCAGCTGCTAGACCAGCATTCCTGAGCCTTGGATGGAAGCTCGGGAACGTGTTCTTCCGGATCTTGGCTCAAGCCAATCCTTTTAGAAAGTTTGGGGTCACAACAGGTTGCTAGAAAAAGGGCAAGGGGGAAGAGGGCAATGGCCACCGCTGCCCTACAGATTAGAAATGACCTCCAGGCCCTGGGTACGCGCCCCCATTAGGTAACCATAAAGCAACCCAAATAAAACATAAACTTCACAGGTGTGTTGAACATATGTTCCAAAAAGCAAACATTGTGGGTAAGTTTATTGGAGGGCAGTCTTTTCTTCCGGTTTTGGTAGTGGCTCTTGGTGGATGCCCAGGAGCGACAGATAAGGGAAGGGAGTCCATCTGGGCTGTCATGCAGCTTGGCTTTCAGGAGCGAACCTCCAGTGTAAGGCTATGCAGATGACATCTGCTGAGGTCTGGTCGAGAGAGGAGTGGTGGCACAAGAGTAACCCCCAAAGGCTTCAGAACAGCAGCTCCTGAAGAGCCTAGAGGCCAAAGGGCCAAAGCGTGCATTCTGTCTGTAACTTGCTAGCGCTACCATTTTGACCCCGCCCACTCCCTGACCTTGGGTGGCCGATGCCCTGGCGAGGCGCAAGGGGAAAACTCCCCTATTGTTTTCTGCAGTGGGACCCAATGAACCAGGCTGCAACTTAGCCCTGGGGCGCTCAGCTCAGCGCCACACTCTTGGCAATTTCCGACGCCCACGTCTTTGCTTCCACTCGCTGCCTTCCTCCTTCCACCCCCGGAAAAAGAGACTCCAAATATATCCGGTGGCCTCGATTTGTAATCGCTCACTTGCTCAGTTAATGGCCTTTGCTAACCCATAGGACAGGGACCATTTTTATTCACATTCAGTCAGGCCTGAAGGGAGCCACGTGGGAACTACAATTCACCACTCACAAATCAGCAACTTCCTTCCCATCTAAACAACGAGAACTTGAAAAACGTTCCCTTCGGAGACACTGATGATGTTTCCTTCTCGATCTCAGAACAAAAAAGTCGTGTTAGTGCTCAGATAAGCATTTGTCCCCTGTATTATAAGTTTAAAATAAAACGAAATTGACCGATTAAAAATGAGAGCTTAAATCACTTCGAAGAACACACATCTTAGCGAAGGCGGCGGCGGGGGGGTTAGGTGGGGTGGGGTAGGAGGAAGACGAGGCACAACACTGGGAATTCTAACTGCTGCAATAAACCAGAAGAAAGAAAGGTGTTCTCCGACCAAATGATTCCTCCCGCCCTTCCGCCAGCAGTTTTGTGGGAATTGGTTTGGGCTCGAGCTAGAAACATAGAGATGTCTAAAAAGCATGGCAGAAGCGCTTAGGTCCAGTGGCGACTGCTCTGTCATCTGTTCCCGCTTTGGTCATTGCTATGGCTACGAAGCCCTTTCAAATCCGAGGTGCGCAACTCAGCAACTCAAACTCACTTTCTCAGCTTGGTCCCAGTGGGCGGAAGCCTGACTGTGTGGGAGCAGCAACAACTCCGGAGGCTAGGGGACATTTATTCCGGAAGGGAAAGTATGCGCTCTGGTTACCTGCACATTGGTTCCAGATAGCGGTGGGGTAGGGGCTGGGGCGGGGATGATGAAGGGGATAAGGTCTGTTCCGCTTCGCCAGCCCGTGCCCACCGGGAAGAGCAGAGCGCTGGTGGCTGCAGTGAGTCACCTTCTGGGCCTCCGTGGCCCGCGCGGGGGTCGGAAGGAATGAAATTTCTGCGCCGGAACCCCACGCAGCCTGGTGTTGGAGGCCTGTCAGCTTTGTGGAGAGTGGCTTCCAGGTACTGAAAGGCCCCCAAGCAACCCTGGTGAATTTCAGCATCCCGACTTTTCTAACTCTGAATGCCAGCGCAGGAATTCGGCACTTCGGAGCGCTAGCACCCGCACTTCCTGCACCAGAGCTGAGAGTTTCTGTGTATACGCTCTTTCCAGCCGCTCCCCTGGACAAAGGTGTGAAACTAGGGAGAACCTCGAGGTGGGTTTTCACTAAAAAAAAAAAAAAAAAAAAAAAAAAAGCTACTCACTACTCGTGGATGTGCCTCATATTAACATTCGACTTAAAAAAAAGTTACTGGAGAAAAACCCCTAAGAATCAATGTCAAAGGTCAGAAAAACAATTTCCTAAACAGGGACAGATGCTGGCATTATTGTTTATTCAAGAGAAAGGAAAGTTAGAGTATTTATCAAATTAATGTTACCGAGGAACAGCTACTCACATAAAACCTCCTCATGCGACTTAAAGTTTCAGCTAGGTTCTTAAAATTAAGCAGATAACCTCCCTTCTCTCTGCCCACCTCCCTCCCCAGCCTTTTCAAAACAGTTTGGAGGGCACTAGGTAGAGTTTGGTCTGCCCTAGTTAACCGGCATGCGCAGGGAGACTGCTCTCAACAAATATTAAGATAGGCTGGGGGAAAGGTTGTCAGTGACTTTCGCCCAGATTTCTCTTGCTTAAACTTTCTAAATCGGGGTCTATTGGGGCCCTCCCTTTTGGGGGCTTGATATAGGTCCGGTTGACTTTCCCTCTTCCATCTCCATCTCTGCTCTGCAACTCTTACACTCAGGAACCGGATGGCGGAACTCTTGGATGGACTACACAAGGCGACTACAGCCAAGGATGGCTCCAGGATCAAGTGCAGAAAAGCGCGCGTGTACAGGAGAGCGCCACTCAACTGGGTGGAACCTCTTCCAGCGCTGGGTCACTACAGCATCTTCACCATCTGCTCCTGTCACCAGCCGGTGGCTCCGCCTCCTCGAGCCCGCCCCCTTGGGCTCTGAAGCCAATAGTAACCCCAGACTGCTCTACCCCCCTTTTCGAGCCCTTTCCACACCCCCACGTTCCGAGAGACGATTGGTTGTTTCGACTTGGTTGAAGCTCTGACATTTGCATGCTGCTCGCGGTTCCTGGTAGGTAGCTCGGCCCGTCACTCGGAAGGCCGGGACCGCCCACTCCACCTCAGGGCTCAGCTCTCTTCCTGCGCAGTTCTCCTCCGCAGCCTCTGCGGGCAAGCGCCGGGGCTGCTCTCAGTCTCCTGGCTGCGAGGAGGCAGCCCCGGCGAGCTGCCGTGCGACCCGTCCAGAGTATCCGGGGTACGGGGTACAGCATCCTCCGCAGCGCGTCTGCCCGCAGTCCCCGCCGCCGGGACTTTGCGTTCCAGTGTCGGCTTCTGGTGGGCAACATGTCAAAAGCCGTCGCCGCTGCAGCTGCCGCCGCCACCCGGGAAAAAGCCGCAACCTCGGCAGCCGCTCACACACGAGGGCAATAAACCGAATCCTCGGGGCGCAAAGCGGCAGGGGACCCTCCCGGTGCTCTCTGCTCCGGCAGGACTCGAGCCATGTGTTGAGCCATGCCCCTGGCCGCGCCCGCGGGCTGCGCATGGGGCAGCGCCTGAGCGGCGGCCGGTCCTGCCTCGATGTCCCGAGCCGGTTCCTGCCACAACCGCCGCCGCCCCCGCCGCCGGTGAGGAGGAAGCTCGCGCTGCTCTTCGCCATGCTCTGCATCTGGCTCTACATGTTCCTGTACTCGTGCGCCGGCTCTTGCACCGCCGCGCCCGGCCTGCTGCTCCTGGGCTCGGGATCCCGCGCTGCTCACGCTCAGCCAGCTCTGGTCACAGCTCCGAATGAGACGTCCCCTAAGATGCTTTTCCGGGCGTCGCCGGCCAACTCACTGGCTGCAGGCAAGGATAAGACAGTAGTCGCCGGGAGCCAGGAGGAGCAGAGTCCGGAGACAGCGGACTCCCCCAGCCCCATCTCCAGCTTCTTCAGCGGCTCTGGGAGCAAGCAGCTGCCGCAGGCCATCATCATCGGCGTGAAGAAGGGCGGCACGAGGGCACTCCTGGAGTTCCTGCGCGTGCACCCCGATGTGCGCGCCGTGGGCGCCGAGCCTCACTTCTTCGATCGCAGCTACCACAAGGGTCTTGCCTGGTACCGGTAAGTTTCTTCTCCAGGGGCCATTGCGCTGGCCGCGATCCCGACCGTGAGCCGTTACTCGTCAGGTGGGGAGGTAGCAGGAGTACAACTTCGGGCAATCGAAGGAGGGCAGGGACCAAAGAGCAATCTCACATTGCGGGTGGGCGATGGCAGAGAATCCGGGTGCGCCCAGCTAGGCTGTGACAGCAACTTACAGAAACTTGTAGAGGGACTCCGGTGGCTCCGTGGTCCGCTGCGCCTAGAATCATTCAGGCGGCCTCGCTGCAAAGACACCAGGCATCTACTGGGAAAGCGCCAGAGGAACCCGCTACCTTCAGGCGGTGGCGACACCCCACTCGAATAACTTCTCATGGCTAGGATTTTGTTGTAGTTCTCGCAGCCCGGGACCTGGGGAGGAGTGCTGTGGCAATGTTGTGCGCCTCTGGGTCGCAGCCTCCTCCGTGCACCAACCGCTAGAGTCGTTTCGGCTGCCCAGATGGGAAGAGGGACTCAGGCTAAGGCACCGTGCCAAGGCCGCCTCGAGGCTGTTAACTTTTTGTTACAATTCTCCTTGTTACCGGAATCCGAAGGAGGTCTGACCCGCTTAGCTAGCGAGTCCCTTGTGTTTGGGAGGGTGGCGAGGTGGCTGTGCGGCTTTGCTAGCTGTGGCGCGCCGGGCGTGGAGCTGTGCTGGTCCCTGTCGGGCAAAGGCGCGCACTGCAGCCCGCAGCCACTTCGAAGGCTTCTGGGCGCCTTAGGAGCAGAAGGCTCCAAGCTGCCTCCCGGGCCTCTGAACCTCTGAACCGAGAGAGCCTTGGCAAGGACGCGAGTTTCCGCAAACCCAGTACATGTCCGGGCTCAAAGAATATCCCTGGACCATTGATTGAGAAATGGGGGTTGCCTCGAGGTCGTGGCTCCCGGATGTGAGTCCAGTTCCAAAGGGACCCAGACTCCGGGGTCACAATTGCGACCTCTGCCCACTGAATTCCGGGTTGCTTGGTGTGGTGTGAGCTGCTGGAGGGGTCACACCCCAGTCTCCGGAAACCCGGTCGGGTCCCCAGACCCTTAGGTCATCACCCAGCCTTCGCGTCTCCCTCTAGTTTTTTTTTCCAGCCTCAATTACTTTCAAAGAGGGTCACGACTTCCGAAAACAAGGAGAGACAACAGAACCCTGCTCTCTGCCTTGACCATACTTTCCAGGACCTGGATGGTATAGCGAATAAAAAGGGCCTGGCCCCCGAGGATTAAAGCAGCTCCTTTCCCAGCCTCGCTTGCCCCCTCCCCTTTGTCCTTTATGCTTTTTTTTTCCCTTTTCTTTTCTTTTTTAAATTGTGAGGAGTTGCCCAAGTCTTGAGATTTAAGCCCTACGTGACAGCCGCCCTTCTCGCTGTTACCAGGACACTGCGGGATAAGAATGGAGACTCAAATATAATGCCCCAGTTTACATCCGGTGGGCCTGGGGAGTGGATTCTGGGGTGGGCCCGGAAGGACAAATACTTCGGTGTAGCCAGGTGCAGTTTACTTTGGGGGGCTCGCTAATCATAGGCTATTACCATCGGTGTGTTAGTATTGCCTCTATCCCACTACCCTCCGCATGCACACACTATAATGTTCCGAGGACCGGGTGGCAGACTAATGATTAGAACCATTTCTGGCAGAGCAGAGCCCGAGGCAGCCGGGGCCTTTTGGTCAGACCCACTTAAGGCCGGGTTAGGAGAAACTGGCAGGCGAGGCACTGCACCCTTGAGGGTTTTAGAGGCACCTGGGGCTGGAGGTGGAAATCCCCACTGAAAGATTGAAGCGGAGGCGGAGGTGGCTGCCTCCACCTGCCACCGCCCTTGGGGCGCCAGAGGCTCTGGCTGCGCTCGGATGGCGCAGCCCAAGAGCGTGGCGGGGACCAGCGACCCGAAGCTGCAAGGCAGCCTCCGAGATGCACGAACCCCGGGGCTCAATCAGGCTGCTAAGTATGGATCAGGGTCCTTTTCCTTTTGACGCCACCGTGAGGCACAGGCCCCAGGTGGAGTGACCTGGTGGATCTAACTGCCATGGACCAAGTGTCCTGAACGCGGCCTTCCCCGGATTCCACCAAGGAACGGCGTGTTGGCTGTTGGCAGAGTTACTGAATATTTTCTTAAAGAAAAAAAATTTAAATGCTGTTTACTTAAAACCTATACATCATTTTAGAGTGTTCTGGGTGTCTGGGCCAGTGTAAGGACTTCACGATTAATTTGAAAGCAACTCTGAAACTTTAAATCCAAAAAGCATAGGAGATGCTGACCTAAAGCTAGGCTGACTGGAGTCCACCAAGCTCACAAGGCTTCTCTCCAAATCAGGCCTGAAGGGTCCCTTCTGTTCGGTTCAGAGATAGGCCCGCGCTGGAGAACAGCATAAATAATAATTAACCAGAGTTGCAAGGCAGAATCATGGTTAAAACAAGTACTCAGAGCCAGAGTGTGAGTGCGGAGAGGCCTTTTTAAAGGCATTTGAGACAAAAGGGGAGGGGGGTGTGGAATGGGTGGTTGAGTTCTGGGGTCAGCGGGCAATCGGTTGTAGAATGAGGTCCTGGCTGTGTCTGAGCATGTTTCATGGGTTAATACACAGCCCCACCAGGGACCCAACCAGTGACCCAGGGCCTAGTAGATTTTTCTGGATGCCAGCGAATTTGCGGTCCTTATATCTCCCTACCAAGAAACTATCAGCCAATTGGTGACCCAGACTCCTGGGAGGCCAGAACCTGCAGAGGTGGCGGCTTGGAGCTGATTTTATCACCACCCAGTCATCGGGTTTCTTCACAGCACCCAAGTTTGCAAAAATCACAAAGCTAATGCGAGCTAGTACAGTCTCTGGCAGCTTGAGTCCCAGTTTGTACAAGAGTTCTGCATTGACCTTCCAGTTCATAGCCCGGGTTCTCTAATCACCTTGCAAACTCAGTGAGTGCCTGATGGTGATATCTAAGAGGATGTGGGGGGTATCTGTTGGCCTTTTCCCTCATGTGGGGGTGCTGTGGAGAGGTTTGAGGCTGGGGAGATCAGGAACTTAAAACCCTCAGGCAGAGCAAACTTCCAACCCGCCTGATACCCGGATTTAAAAGTATTAATGATAGTATTTATTTTCTACGCATTTCTTCTTGATGTGGCTTAAGTTTTTATTATATTTTTCACGAATTTGGTGACCCGTCTTTAAGAATTAACTTAGTCCTTGTTTGATTGTCATTTGCTTCAGAGTTTACAATGGTGGGAACTCCTTTCACAGACTTGCTTCCCTTTCAATTTCGGTTGTACAAAATAAGCTGACAATTCAGTGCTGTGGCCACCCTCCCCCCACCCCTGCGTGTGCGTATGTGTTCGTGCTTGTGGGTGGTTTTTAATGACGTTGTAGTGTAGTTAAACTGTACTAAATGTTTGTGCCAGGCACTCTTTCATGAGTTCCGGTTAGCTAGTTTAATCCTCATTACCATTCCATAAAGTGGATACTTTGACAGGTGAGGACACACAGGCACAGCGAGGTTAATCAACTTGCTCAATGTCTCACAGCTAGAAAGTGGCAGAGGTCTTATTCCACAGGAGGTCATTCTGTGCCAGGCTCCCTGATTTTAGTGACCAAAACATGCCATTGGTTAGTCATGTGTAATTATTCAAAAGTGACTTCTGTTCTTACAGAGTTTGAGGGTTTCCTGCCCACCCCCAGTTCCCCCACCGTGCAGAGTGCCCACTTTGTCATTTATCTTAAAGCCTTTCAAATGCTGGGACAGTTGACTTGGAACTATCCTGCACTGGTTTCTAACTAGAGGAGGACAATCATACCATTCTGGCACTTTTATTTCTCTGTGCAGGACAGCTAGAATCAAAGGAGTCATTAAAATGACAAAAATATCCCTCAAGTATAGTGGCCGAGAAAACAGCCAGTGTCTCCCGGAGGAAGTGGTTTATTCAATGCCATTTGCCCCCTTCAGGCTGGGAGGCCCAGGTTAAGTTGCATGTTCTCAAGCTCTTGGAATTAATTTGTTCACTTAAGAAGATAGAATGATCCCAAGTCAAGAAGGACACAGCGATGATGACTTTGTGCTTATTAATCAAAAGGCAGATGCAGCTAGAACTCTGAGGTTTTCCTGGATTTCTTAAAATCTAGTAATAAATGTCTCTGAGACCTCTGAAAAATAGTAAGTAATTTCCTTTACATTTTTAGATGATCTTCCACCTCCATATGCCTAGTGTGTTTCTAAAAACCTGGTGCCCAGCCCTATTTCTGACTTCACTGTAGGCTAAGATCTCACTGGGGATAATCTGTTTTGAAATAATTGCACTTCCTCAATCCTAGAATTTAAGCCAAGTATGAGGCTCACTTCTAGACTGCTGGGAGAAGATCAGACATCTCCATCGAGATGCAACAATTTGAAATACAAACCATTATGCTAGAACGCTGTCAAGATTTAACAGCAAGACAGTGTAGCATGTGCTGAGCTCTGTTTTTAATTAGGCCCCTAAATTACACCATAAAATGGTTGATTAATCTTTTACAAGTTGGGGGGGAAATATAACATAAATTAACCTAATCATAAGTGTTTTCCCAGATGCTGAGTTAATAAAATTGTCAATATTTAATAGCAGCTTATTAGTTTTAGATAAATAAAATGCCAAAATGTATGAATTAAATTACACTTATTATCTTCCAAATGGTATGTTATTATCCAGCAGGTCTGTGAAAATTAGTTTGCAGCCCATATCTTAAGAGACATTCTTAAAAGATAGGCTACTACAGTAAATAGGAGTTCAATGCTGACCACATTAGATTTTGCATTTTAAGGATCTATTTATTTAAAAGGCAGTAGTTTAATGTACACTAATAATGACTAGATGTATTTTTCCAGTCAGCAGTATCCTGTTTGCTACTGCTAAGTGATCTTACACAGCCCTGTCTTTCTGCTTTTTTTTTTTTTTTTTTTGAAAAATCAGGATGTCACTAATTCTCATTCTAAATATGCATGCTTCAGTTTAATCCCTCCAGTTTAAAAGAGACTATGA